CTCAAGCACCGCACCTTCAGGCCTGCATAAACTCTGATAATAGCCGACCATTATCAGAGTGACTCCTGGACCACCCCGCATCGACACAGTGCTTGCTGGTGGCACCTGCTGGAAAAGAGCAAGCCAAGAACCACCAGAGACGTTGCTCACTGTTCAAGGGCACGCCTGGCATTCAGGAGGTCCTGGGTTCCATCCTAGATAAGGGGGCGAGGGGTGGCAAAGATGAGCGCGGAAGAGGAGTGCAGGAGGTAGAAATAAAAAGCTTGCCTTGCATGCAGTCACTACTGGTTTCTCCTCAGCACCTCATGTGGTCTCCTGAGACCACGTGGGGTCAGTCTTTATTTATTTTGGCTTTATTGGGTCACACTTGGCAATGCACAGGGGTTACTCCTGGCTCGGTGCTCAGGGGACTACATGGGATGCCGGGAATTGAACAGGGTTAACTGCGTGCAAGGCAAATGCCCTACCCACTGTGCTACTGCGCCAGCCCTGGGGTCAGTCTTATGTACAGAGCCAGGAACAGCCCCTGAGCACTGCAGGTGTGGCCCACGCCACAAACGAAATGGTAAGGCTAGTCAAAGGGCACAGCAGCAGGCAAGGTGCCAGGTCGAAGACACTTTAGGGAAACTAGGAAGACAGGCCATGGGCATCCCCAAGGGAGAAGCATAGCTTAACCCTGATTGCTGAATCACCTGAAAATTAAGACACCATGTTCCTGTCCCAGGAATTCATCTCCAAGTTTCCAGGTGACTCCGATGTGCAGTGAAGGGAGGAAAGTCACCAAAATTCATCAGTAACATCATGAGGTGTTCTCTGTACCCCAACTTTGCAATTAGTTAATTGTAGCATTCCCTCCTGAGACTTCCGAAGCTCTCTTCTTCAAAAATGCTCAGACCCTATTACCAGAAAATTTCCCCTTGGCCTGGACCCCTCCAACTATTGTTCCCAAACTGAACAGGACTTGAGTGGCGAGACCAGAATTCAGTGCAAACATTCCTGGTATACACTGGCTATCTGGGGCACCCTTGCCTGCTGACTGCAGAGCCTGCCAGCACTGCCCAGCATTAGGCTGTGTTCCACATCGCCCAATCCAGTCTGAAGGTAACCGTAGGAGGTAGGTTTCCTATTCCTCACTCCATTTTACAGGTGAGAAAAACAGAACCTGGTAACGACTGGTCCAGTTACTGAACCTTCTGGTAGGAGATGGTAGCGCGGGCAGCCCTCTTGGAGTGATCGCTGACAGCAGGGGTGGCCCAAAAGGGGGTAGGGGAAAAAACTGGATGAAAAATAAAGGACTTAAGAGCAAAAAAAAAGAAGCCTCTCAGGCTGGAGAGGTGGGGTTTTGGGGGATGGTGGTAAGAACAGTGAACATCGGTGGTGGGAAATGCACACTGGCGGAGGGATGGGGGCTGGATCATCCTAGGACTCAAGCCCAATTACAAACAGCTTTGTAATGGTCCATCTCACAGATGTTCGATCAAAAAAACGAACCACAGATTTCACGCCCAATTCAATCAGCTTAATCAATGGCTGAATAAACCGCAATTCTCCTACATTAAATACAAAGACTTGAGATGGCTCTAAGGTTTGTAGCTCACTCTTACATTCCCAATTTTCTGGGTTTGATCCTTGGCACTGATAGGAGATCCCCAAAATAATAGTTAGGAGCAGATGTTTGAGAACGGTTATCAGAAGGGAATGGAAGTTGAACGTGCAGTGTAGGGAGGAGGGGGCAGGTGGATGGTCCAGAAATGACCTTCGGTGGTAGGTGTGGTGTGTACCTGTCCTAGTACTTTGAGGATGCTATAGATCAATGCTACTGTAAAACAAAACCCACAAGTGCTGCTCACACCAGAAGGGTTCAAGCTCTTGTGCTATGGAAGCACTTTCACGACACGATCAAGGACAAACAGCAGGACACAAACTCGACACCTTGACATTTTATTAGAACCGTTTGGGGGTGGGGGCAGGCCTTGCGCCCCTGGTGAAGCTGTGAGAGCCCCAACACCAGCAGGACCATTTGGAACCCTCAAACTGCAACTGAGGTGCAGGAGCAACAAGTGTGACTGGCTGACCACAGTCGTGACAGCAGGAAGGGCCACTGGTTTGAGTGCAACATGCAAGTGTTTTGGGGGCTACTCATGCACGCAAAACTCCAGCCTGCTGACCTATCTACATTCCAGAAAAAAAAGTTTTATCTAACTCCCCTCGGGATCAGGACATTGCTTGATTGACTTTGGTCAAAAAATAGCTAACTGCTTAAATGGTACCTGCCCATTACCCAAGAATATACAAGCCACTGATTTTACCCTGAGCATCAGGCTTCACTTTTGTAATTAAAAAAAAAAACCCACCCTGAATTTTGTCAATAAATGAATCAACCGAAACAGGAACTTACAGCACAACACAAACTTTGGAGTTGAAACTGGCCTGAGTTCTGAACATCTTCATTTAGTATGATGACTAAGTCAAGGAATTTCTTGGGTTAAAAGCATCACTCTGAATAAACATTGAAGGTAGCTGTGGCACAGTGGCAGGCTACAAAAGGCCCCTAGAGTGAGTACTGCTTGGCAAAGAACTCCCCCACTCCCTGGGACTAGCTGACAGTCAGGGGAGAGGCTTTAGCAGGTTTCCCCATAGACCCGGGCAATTTCAACTTCCGTTGCAGCTTCCAATGGTTTCTAAGCCTAAATTAGTGTTCATCTACTTCTTACTACTTACTTACCAGACAGGAAACTTCAACTGACTTCACTCCAGTCATTTTCTGTGGTCAATGGATTACAATACATTGCCAATTCAAGTCCAACCAGGGCTGTCCATTTAATAAGCCAAACCTGTCCCATTAAACCCTAGAAATCTGAATACATGAAGTAACCAATTTACTGCAACGCCCTAATACACTCTCACCAACCCAAGCTTCTTGGTGGTCTTGCCAATAATAAAACCGACAAAGAGCCCACACCTGCTTAATTTGCAGTACCACTGAAAATTAAAATTAGACTGAATTATAGGCTCAGTTTTCATTAATTTTACCTCTAAATCCTAGTGCATTTTTAGTTTGTTGGTACATTTCTACTTTACGATATATTAAGTCTTACTTAACCTTTCCTTACCAAATTGTGAGTTGCCTTTAATTCTTAAGTGCCTTGCCATTCAACTCAGTTTGTATTTTCTTGCTAATCAAGAGGCTTTTCAAATGGTCCTCAACTCCCAAGATTACTTGCTACTCCAACTCAAAGACTGTGTAAGATGGAAAGGTAGGTAGAGTTGTGGATTGGTTTTCAAGGAGTCCCCCAAAAATTCCAAACCCTTAAATTAAGGTGGAAACCTTGACCTTCTGTAGCTATTCTTTGCCCGCGGGGTTTTTAAGAATTTAGTTCAGATAAACCCTGCCATGTTTTAAACGTTCAACAAGACTATTCGACAATAAATACAGGTTGGAGTGTTGGCTTTTGTCATTTTTTATATCCCATTTCCCACATCACAAGTCACCTAACATGGGAACTGGGATTTAGTGATAAAGTACACCAGCTCTTAGGGAGAACATTTAATGTATTCCACGTTCATTCATTCAAGGTGTTAAGCTATGATCTTGCACTTCAGTCTAACAGCTTTTAGATTAAAATACTGTATGATAAACCCCAGCTAGGTGAAACACCTTTTCTTACACTGTTCTCAAAATAAATACGTTATTTTTTAAAAAGTAAATAGAAAAGCCAGGAGGCAGTGAATTAATACTGCCACTAAAGGGTTCAGTATTCAAAAAATCCCATTAAGTATGAAACTGGTGCTTATAGTCAGGAGTGATCACTATCAGATCACCCTTTGAAAGCTGACAGGCTAGGATAAACTACAAGGAAAAAGCAACAAAAACACCAAACCCATCCAGATACAGGAGGTGGAGACGCATCTACAGACCACATGAACCATCTATGGCTCAATATTAAAAATCTTCTAATTTCACCTCTTTGCCTAAGAAATGCAACCCACAACGAACTGACTTTAAGCACTTCTATCACCGTAGCATCTGTCCTTGTTTCGTTGTTTCAAGTATTAGAAGTTCGCTTCTAGCAGACACCTAGAGTTAAAACCTATTACCAGCATCAACTTCAAATCAGAAAACACATCACTAGACTACATGGGACTTTTAACTTTGGAAACTGTGTATTAGTCACAACCTAACTTTTTTAATAATAACCTGTTACTAATATTTACTAAGTTCTACTGAACTAGGATTCCTGGTCTAAGTGGTCCATAGAAAATTGTCAAAATTGACCTTCTCGTCAATTCAGGCTCATTACAGCCTAAATACTCAGACATGCCCATTTCTAAGAAATGTGTATATTGGGGCTGGAGAAACAGTTAAGGTGTCTGCTTTGCAGGAGACAGACCCCAACTCATTCCTGACTCGTACAGTCCCCCAGCATGGCCAGGAGCCCTGAGCAACACCAGTGTGGCCCAAAACCAAAACTAACATACCGACTTCCATAACTTACCAATCCTGACAACTGCTCCAAATAGGGATGGTTTTCAAGAAAGGCAGAAGGATCAAAGACAAACTGAGAGGGTACCTGAAATAAACTGGCATCACAGATGTTTTCTCTAACAAGGTTCATAACTGAACCTTATTCAACACTAATTCTCCTTCCAAATACTGACTTCTCAATGGTATTTGTATGAAAACCTAAGAACCATTAAAAACTCTTTAGGGTGTGGGGCTGGAGTGATACAGCACAGTGCTTGGGGTGTTTGTGCTGAACGCAGCCGACCTGGGTTCGATTCCCAGTATCCCATATGGTTCCCCAAGCACTGCCAGGAGTAATTCCTGAGTGCAGAGCCAGAAATAACCCCTGAGCTCTTTCGGGTGTGACCCCCAAACCAAAAATCCCCCAAAACAAAAAGAAAACCTACTTAGGGTCTACATCTTTATAAGCTGAACTCAATGTAGTGACTCACCTTTCACGTTAGACTTTAGCACAGTTAAGGAAACTAAGCCACAAGACTGTTGCATTATGATTTAATCTAATAGAACAAAATTAGAAATTACAACTCCTCTGGATTTCAAAGAGGAAGGTTATACATGCCTCCATATTCAATTCTGTACTGTTACACTTAAACCATAACGAATTTTTTTTACATCATGATGGATCAATTTAGAATTTTCATGCAACACCTCAAATTGTACGAAGTGGAAGCAATTTAAAGCTTTGTGTAAAGTTCTCATGCTAATGACAAAAGCCTTTGTTAATGACCAACTTTGGGTTACAATGTACCACTAGAACTTAAAAATGTTGGCCACTAAGTATCACTGACTTTGAATTGGCTTCTTCTACCTGAAAACTGGCAAACGGAAGTGTCAACCAAAGCTTCCCTTCGCTTCAAAGTCATGTTTCTTACAAGATCTGTGTAACCAACTGTTTTCCATGGTGGACAAATACTATGGTAATAGTGGGTTCAACTATTACACAATTATGCTATTATTTTATTAATTCAAAGCACTTTACAAGAAAATATAAGTATGGCTTCCGATAGGAATGTTATACCTGGACTTAGAACCAAGCTCACAGATTTGAGATTTGCAAGGAAAAACAGGCTTTCAAGTTAAACAACAATTTGTAACCAAAACTTTAATCCCAAGGATTCTCACAATACATATTACAAATGACAGCATGAAAAAAAATCTTGCACAGTAACTTCAAAGTTTAGCTCTACAATGTACCCTTAAACTGGCAGGAGGCTGGTGTCTTGAATAGTCTCAAATTTCCAATTAAGACAGTTAATAAAGACCTATATATTCAAATATAGCAGAACAAGCAACTTAGAACCTAAAGCAAACTAAAATTTTAGATTCCACACTAATCATCCACCCAGTGTGGACTAGTTGGAATGGGAATTTAAAAAAAAAGCCCTCGTAGTTTATAATGGTGCAGCTTGAACAGACCATTCTTTAACCAACTACAGCTACAGGCTATTCCCCAGCTGTAGTTGAAAGTCAGGGTTCAATTTTAAGTTATTTTCCTCATGTACTTTACCTGGGCAGAATTTAGATTTATTGTCAGTCTATACAAGACTATCAATTCGAGTTCAAGGCAAATTCAATTTTGCTTAAGGGAACATTGTAAAGTAACAATTCTTGATAGCGTATGCCTCTATGACCCACTTCGAGCCACAGAGAATTACATCTTTGTGTCACTGTTCCAAGAGACAAATATATGTGACCAGCTAAAACATCTTAAAAATGCACCAAGCTTATGAAGTCTCAAACAAAACTTGAATTTTCTGTACATACTCCTGTCAAATGAAGTTATTTCCTGTACACCACTCTTCTTGTGAACTGGTCTTCTATTTTCTCTCATTTGACCTAGATCGGCTAAAATACAAAAATAAAAGTTAAAATGGGAAAACCAGGAAGTTGTCAGCGTTCACAAAAAGCTTCACAGTCAAGTTACACGGCGGTCTCAAGCAGTGCCAGGTGGAATTCTTGGAGTGCAGAGCCAGGAATGAGCCTCTGAGCACTGTTGGGGAGCGCCATCCAAGACCTACTTGTTTCAGTAGTGTGTCCAGAAAGGCTCTTCAAGCTTCTAATTACTAAGCTCTTACCTCCGAGACCTAGAGAAGGATCGAGACGGCTTGTGATTTCTCTCCCGAGACAGTGATCTCTCTCTCCTTCTGTCTCTAGAAAGGGACCTGAATCAAGGGGGGAAAAAGGTTAGGGATCATTCAGTTATTTATACACAAGTTTTCTGGGTTGGTTATTTTTATTTCATGGCAACTGGGAGAGAACCCAGGCCTGATGCCTGCTAAGACTTGTTGTACACAGCAAGTCCTTTAAAAGAAACAAACAACTAAGCTAAAGGCTGTTTCGCTGTTTAACACTGGCTGTTACCCAAATCCCGTTCAATTCATTCAAGCCAAGCCCTGTTTTCATTAACCAACTGAGGACACAGCAACAAAAGCCATTCCCAAGGATGTAAACCAGAAAGAATCATTTACCTGCTCCTGCTGCGGGAGAAGCTTCTCCGTCTTGGAGATCTAAAACCAGAAACAGGCAAATTAGGCTAACTGCCGGTTAGTACTTATGGCGTGAGGCATTTCCCAACTTTTCAATCTCACTGTTGGGCCCAGTGAATGTGCCGAAGAACTGGCACCTATTGTCCAAAATCAAATCTTTTAAAACAGAAAAGAAAAAGGGGCACAGAAGGATTAAGGAACTAAAGCTCAAGTGAAAAGCAGGTATTCCAACCAGATTCACTTTAAGAATGCTTCACAGCAGATCTGTCCAATGCAAAACTTCATGTCAAACTAACTTCATTACCCAAACACCACACCAAAGTGGAGTCTCCCAAAAAGTTCCAAAAACGGTTGCCGTAAACCAGTATTTGGAACCCATGCAAACCTTTAAGTCCATGACAAGACTTAGGTGCCAGGTGGAAAGTGTACTTTTGTGCAAACGCGCTAGGTGTAAATACTGATGCCATTAAGTGCTACATTAGACTGCATTTGTGATTGTCACATCAGGAGTGTGTTTAGGCTTATCCAAATTACCGTAGCTTGGCCCATTTCACCCCCAAAATTTTTAAATTTTGAAAACTGTTAGTAAAACCATTTAAAGGTGATAGGATTCAATAAATTTTTTGCTAGGAAGGAAAGCTAAATCTGTTAGAGTTATTAAAAAATTTTAGTTTGGCATCTCACACATGCAAATAAGTTCCACTTGAAGGTCTAGTTACATTATGAGTTCCCTATCACCCTTAAAAGTTTTATTCAAGCAATATATATATGTACGTTACCATTCAATTATGCACAGCCAGCCTTTGATCCAGAAAAATGAATTACTTTAAGCCGCTTACTCCTTATTTTAACCAGCAGTAAACTGTATAAGCAGGAAAAACTTACTAGTTTTGGGTTTCAACAAGCTAGAAATGGTGAGGTGAGGCTGCCGGACTGACGGCCAGGAAGAATTTGCTGAAAAGGTTTTGCCAGATGTTGCGTTGGATTTAGTTGGTTGGCGAGGGGGTGTTGTGGATTTTTCCTGCTTTTTTGTTAGCCGAAGGCTGCTGCTGTAGTTGTTGTGAAGACATTTGGTAAATAAACAGCTGAGCTGATTGGCCAGGAATGTGTGGGCGGTCGAGGTGGCTGCTGCCGATTTGGTTAAGGTTGGAGAAGGCTGAGAGAAAACAGCATGCTCGGGAACCAAAGGGCGGTGCAACCTGACGACTGGCCATGCCTGGGTCATGTGAAACGACACCAGCCAAGCTGAATGGGGCGCGCTGGTCACATGACGCTGAAAGGGCTAGTTGACTGGCTAATGCAGACTCAGAGGGTGGTGAGAAGAGACATGATGGTGACTCTGTAACGGGGTTCATTTTTATTAATAGATGGACCAAAAAGCACAAAAAAAAAAATGAAAAACAAGCCATCAGTACAACCATCTATTAGCTAACAAATACTCTTCATTATGATGGGCAACAGTGTGTTGTTTTTGTTTTTCAAAACAGCAAAAGGGGCAAGATTTTGAACTCCTATCTCCTACGAGGACTTCACTCACCTGTAAGAGGTAAAATCAGTCCCATAGAACTATTTTGGAGGTCTGAGGAGATGTGGAGTTGGCATCCAGACAATAAGCCTTGTCCAAGAATGATGCCATTTTCAATTATAAAAAAACTGAATCCTCTCCTATTTGGGCTTGAAGAATAGATGACAGGGATCACGTTTTCGTTTTAGCCCCCTTCATTTTTATGGTCAGTGACTTTAGCTTCCGAATGACTTCTACTTTACCAGTTGCGACATTCGACAGCTGCCTCTTTGATAGTTACAATCGTGCTAGCAGTAGAAAACACATTTTTGTGAAGAGCTAGAGTTGGATGTCATGTTTGTCATTATGGAGTCAAGAAATGGAAAAGGCCTAATTTGAAGTAAAAGGGAAGACTTGGAAAGATGCAACTAGAAGATGAACTAGAAGACAGATCCGAGATAGAAGTTACTGACTACCGACATGAACCGTGACCTAAAGACAAAAGCCAACACTCAGCACAACTCACATACCCCAACTACACCCAGCAAAACGGTTCGTAAAAAACCTCTGCACAGGCAATAACCTTTCTCCACCGTAAGTCCAAGCCCACCAACCTGAGAAATGCCTGGTCCTATTTAGCTACGCCTCTTCTACCAATACCTCAACACGCCCAAGTACCTGCGGCGCGGCGGAGGACTCCTTCTCCGGTAATCATCGCGAGGGCGGCGGCCCCAAGAGGGAGGTGGGCCTCGGTTCCGACTTCTCTTCTCACCGTTGGAGAGTTCCACTCTTACGCGACAGCCACACAGAGTTCTAGGAGGGGCAGAAACAGTTACTTGTGGCGGCTGGGCGTCTTTTTATTCGCGTAAAAATGACCGGACCTGGCACCTTCGCCGAGCAGCAGACACCTAAAACGCCCGAATCCTCAGAATCCCAAAACTCGCAACTCCATTGTCCTCTTGTGAAGGAAATCCTGCTGCCTCTTGGCTACTCAGCAAGATGTGAAAACCCCCAGTTAGCCTCGAGGGACCAAATCTTCTGCACGTCCTCAGCACGTGCTTACTAATTCACACCATCTCCCTGATCATCCCCAGACCACCACTTTTTTTTGGCTTTTGTGTATATATACTTCTCCCCACAGCACCAAACAATATTTGCAAAGTAGCAAACTATAGCAGGGCACAGTACCAAAAAAAAAAAAAATCTTGCGTCTCCTCCCACTGGTTCCCAATGACCAGATTTATGTTTAAATAAGCTTGATTTAAGGAGCGATTAGAAGACGACCTGGGGAAAACTCCCATTTCTGGCACCGGCGGAAACTGTCCTTTTACAGCCAATCCTCAGACCCCGGGGCTTTTGCATCGTTAGTGTTAAGTTCTCCCAGTTTTACTCATACGGCTGAGCCGCCGGCGGGAGCCAGATGCTGCTACGGACAGAACAGGAAACCCAAGTTCCGCGTCCTAGGCCATGTGTTGCTTTATAAACTGAACTGCTTCAAAACCGGGTGTCGTTTGGGCGGGCTTCGCTTCAGCCAGAGACATCGGAGATCATCCCCCCAGGGCAAACAAAGATCATTTTCCCAGATTAAACGGAGCCAGTGGGGGGGGAGGGGCTGGAGCAACAACGGCACAGCGGGTAGGGCGTGTGCCACCCGGGTTCGATCCCCAGCACCCCGGAGGGCCCCCCGAGCACCGCCAGGGGCGATTCCTGAGTGCAGAGCCAGGAGCGACCCCTGAGCATCGCCGGGTGCGATCCCCCCAAAAAAAAAATAATTAAAACAAAACACGAGCCAGCTGGCACTTCCGAGCTGAGGTCCACCGCCCTCTCCAAGGCCGGGCAAGCGAGCCCCATCGCCAGCCTCGAAGGACACGACCCGGGGCCGCAATTACCTCCCGTCCAGCTCTCGCACCGCATCCGCCGCATCCCGGGGGTCCTCGAACTCCACGAAGGCGAAGCCGGGCGGGTTCCGGGCCACCCACACGCTGCGCAGCGGCCCGTAGTAGCCGAAGGCGCGCTCCAGCTCCGTCTTGTTCCCATTGTTCCCGAGGTTGCCCACGTACACCTTGCAGTCCAGGGGGCACGAATCGCGATGCATGGCTGCAACGACACCGGCGGCGCCGGGACGCGTCACTCCCCGCGGCGGGGGCCGCGCCGGCCGCGCGCACGCGCACGCGCACGCGGGCCGCGACGGGCCTGCCCGGCGCCAGCGCGCGCCTCGCCGGGCCCCCTCGCCGGGCCTCCCCGCCGGGGCCCGGCCGGCCGCGTCCCCCCGCGAGGCGAGCCCCGCGACCACCCGCGAGGCCCGCCGCGTCCGCCCGCGCCGGCCTCAGGCCTCAGGCCGCCGCCGCCGCCGCCGCCCGGCCCAAGATGGCGGCCGCGCCTTTGTCTCGGCGCCGGCCCGGCCGCCCGGCCGCCCCCCGGCGAGCCGCCGCCGCCCCCGCGCCGCCCCCGCCGGCCGCGCTCACCGACGAGTGGGCGAGAGACGGACGGTCCCGACGCGCAGCCCGAGAGTCTCCCCGCGGCCCCGGCGGCCCCCGCACCCGCGCTCGCTGCCCCGGCGTCGCGAAATGGCGGACCACCGCCGTCTCCTCGGCCCTATTTATACGCCGGGCCGGCGGCACGTGACCGGCCGGCGCCGGCCAATGAGCGGCGGCGGGCGGCGTGACGTCGCGGGCCGCCAACGCCCGGGCGCCGGCCGCGCCGACGCGTGCTCCGGGCTCCGTGCGCGCCTTTCTCTCCCGCGCGAGCCGCGCCCGCGCCCCCCCCCCCCCGCGCCCCTCCCCGCCCCCACCCCCACCCCGGCCGCGCGTTTCGGGGAAGCTCCGAGGCCCGGCGCCTGGGGCGCGCCCTGGACACGACGACGCGGGGGTGGGGGGGGGCCGGCCTTGGGCAAAGAACAGAGAAAAGGGGAGTTCCGGGGGCTGGAGCAGTAGCACTGCGGGGAGGGCGTTCGCCTTGCATGCGGCGGACCCGGGTTCGAGTCCCAGCATCCCGTAGGGTCCCCTGCGCACCGCCGGGGTGATGCAGGAGCCAGGAGGAACCCCTGTGCATCTCCGGAAGGACCCCCAAAATTAAAAAAAATAATAAATTAAAAAAGAAAAGTGGGGGCTGGAACAGTAAGTACGAGTGCAGAGCCAGGAGTAATCTCTGAGCATCGCCCGGGTGTGATGCAAAAATAAAAACACTTGAAAAAAACAAAAAGAGTTTGAAATCAGGCCAGTCCTGGGTTTCGACCACAGTCCTGCTAAAGTGTCTTGAAAATAATCCCTTCATCTCTAGGACGGCTCCTCTCCGTGAAACAAGTCAGAAGACCAGTATTGCAGGGTTGTTCTGTGCTGGATGCTGGGATAGAAACTTCAGCTTCTCAAGCGTCCCTGGAAACCAGCCTGGCTCACAGCATTCAATCAATGCATATTTAATTAATCTAAAAGAGTGGTGTGGGCCAGAGAGATGAGAATACAGCCGGTCTGTGTTATCTGTGCTTGTCTTGCCCGTGGCCAGGACCGCGTATGATTCCCCCAGACGCACCAGTAATAATCCCTGAATGCAGAGCCTTGGGCTCTGCTGGGTGTAGCACCAAACACCTCTTTCCCCCCCGCCCTGCAGAGAAATGGTGCATTTAAATCACTTCGCACATGATAGTACAGCGGGTAGGGCGTTTGCCTTACATGCGGCCAACCCGGGTTTGATGTCCAGCATCCCATTTGGTCCCCTGAGCACCACCAGGAGTAATACCTGGGTGCATAAACCAGGAGTAACCCCTGTGCATTGCTGGTGTGACCCAAAAAGCAAAAATAAGGTAAGGTAAAGGCCCTCCCGTTGATCATCGATTTGCTCGAGCGGACCCAGCAACGTCTCCATTGGAGACTTTGTTGTTACTGTGTTTGGCATATCAAATACTCTCGGTAGCTTGCCGGGCTCTACGAGAGGGGCGGAGGAATCGAACTCGGGTTGGCCATGTTGGCTGCGTGCAAGGCAAACGCCCTACCACTGTGCTATCGCTCAAAAATAAATAAATAAATCACTTGGCAAACCACTACTCCCAAAAGTGCTCTTTGGACATGTCTTTTTCACATCTAAGTGTCTGCTCCTTTCCCACCATTTTTCTGATTTTTTTGTCTGAATGCTGTGTTGCTGCTCCAGCACAGCCCTTTAATGGAGCCCTCTTAATCCCTCCAACTTTTTTTTTTCCAGTTTGTAATACAGGGGCTAGTTTGCATGCAGGAGGCCCAGGTTCAATCCCCCAGTAACTCAGGGTCCCTGAGCACTGCCATGAGTGACCTAGGAGCAATGCACAAAGAGTAGCCCTGAAGCACACCAACTGTGGGGCCCTCCTCTCCCGTGCACAATTTTTTTTTCTTTTTGGGTCACACTCGGTGATGCTCAGGGTTTACTCCCAACTTTGCACTCAAGACTTACTCCTGGCAGTGCTCGGGGGAGCATATGGGATGCTGGGAATCGAACCTGGGTCGGCCACATGCAAGGCAAACGCCCTACCCGCTGTGCTATCGCTCCAGCCCCACCCCCGCACAATTTTTTGAAGACAGGACTAAAGGGCCAGAGTGAACGTACAGCAGGGTAGTACACTTGCTTTGCTGCACTTACTGGGGTTCAGTTCCTGTGCCCTATATGGTCCCTGAACCCATCAGGAGGTCCCTGAGTGCAGCGTCAGGAGTAAGCCCGGAACACTCCAGCTGTGACCCAAACAGCCCCACCCCCCAAAATAAAAGAATAAATAAAAGAAGTAAAGTTTTAAATACACGACTGACTTCAAGTATCCACATAGGAAAATCTCATAAGATTTGCTTTTGGGTTTGGTGGTGGAAGTGGTTATTTGTTTGGGACCATAATTGTGACCCGTACGCAGTAACAAATTCATTCATTACTTGGTTTGGTCAAGGTCCTGGCAGATGGCACGCGGAACAGGGTAGCCAGAGAGGTGAGGCCTTGGGTGAGGAAGGCCAGGGTGAGAGAGCTTCCCAGGGCACTGCTAGGGCCAGTGGGGCAAGTCAAAAGCAGGGTTCACAGAAACCACCGTGCACTGGAGAACCAGCAGTTGCCCCTTGGGAGGGGGTGCGTGGTGTTACTGGGCCGCTCTGTCTGCCAGCTGGTCTCACTTTCTTTTTGTCTATTGACGAAAGCCATTGGGAACCCTGAAGACAAGGGAGCTGAGTGATGAACACTGACATCCACCTCCCAGCTTGCAGAGCAGGGCAGAGAACACTGGGAGAACACGGTCAGTGCTGTGTTGTCCAATATGGCAGCGTCGGGTTGAATTCAACTGCTGGGGTTCAAATTGAGATTGCTGTAAGGCTGTAAAATCCAGCCATGCTGGATTTAAAGCACAGTATGAAAAACGGATGTAAAGTATCTCATGAATGATTTTTATGTAGATTTCAGGTCCTAATGAGACTACTTTGGATATTGTGAGTTAAATGAGCTTTATTATAAAATAACCATGCTGGGCACTGCCAAGGGTGACCCAAAACCCACTATTAATAAATAACATAAAAAAAACTTCAGGGGGCTGGAGAGATAGCAGAGCGGGTAGGGCGTTTGCCTTGCACACGGCCAACCCGAGTTCGATTCCCAGCATCCCATATGGTCCCCTGAGCCCACCATGAGTAATTCCTGAGTGCAGAGCCAGGAGTAACCCCTGTGCATCGCCAGGTGTGACCTAAAAAGCAAAAAACAAAACAAAACAAAACAAAAAAAAACTTCATATGTTTTCTTTGTTTTTTAACTGTAGCTACGCTAGTGAACACTTAAAATGTCATGTGCTTTCACGTTATATTTCTACTGGATGTGTGAGTTTTAAGGGAAGATGAAAAGTGTGCACATAACTATACCAAAATATTGCTTAAAAACTCTTCTTGTAAATACATAAATCTGATCTAAATCATCCATACAGTGATTTGAATTTTTCCCTTGATTTCCTAAATAAAAAGTTCTTGACATATCTTTCATTATACAGTGACGATATTAAAACCTCTAAACACAAAAAACAAAAAACTTTTTTTGTAGAGGAGTCCTTGGTGGGAGGCCCTGAGACAATGGTGGGCAGAAGTAGACACCGGGAAGGATGCAATGTTGGAACATTGTATGTATCAACTCCTATCATAAATTATAAGTATAAGTATCATAAATTATGGTGCTGAAGTTTTAAAATAAATTTAAGAATGAAAAAGATGTCTTTGAGGCCCAATGATATGACTGGGTCACACAAGACCCTTGTCCAGTGCCTGGTCACCACCGGGTCCCTAAGCCCTCTGGATGTAGCCAGTGTCCCCTAGGGCTGCTGACCGAACAGCACTGCATTTTCGGGCCAGAGATTAAAACTATGAGGTTGTGTTGGAAGTTGCCAGGAGAGCCCCCAGGGTCGCTGATAGCAGCCTCCACGGAATGGGCGAAAAAGGAACTTCATCTTCTCATTTTGAGTAAGAGAGCACATGCTTCACCTGAATGGGGTCCTGAGTGTGATTTACAGCACTGAAAAAAACTCATTTTAATGTCAAATCCTGAACTAGGACCAGAGAAATATTACAATGGATAGCCAACCCAAGTTCTATCCCGAGCACCCAAGATGGTTCTCTCAGTCTAGAGCCAGGAGTAACTCAGCAGCGCCAGGTGTGGCCCATAAACCAAAAATAAAAACCAAAATCCTGAATAACAGTGAAGATATGAAATATTGTTTCTGTAAATTACCTCTTTCTCCTCTTCCTCCTTCCTCCTTCCTTCTTTCTCCTTTCCCTCCCTCCCTCCCTCCCTCTCTTCCTTCCTTCCTTCTTACCTTCCTTCTTTCCTTCTGTTTTCAGGCCACACCTGTCAGTGTAATCCCATCAACGGCCAGACCCAGAGACTAAAAAACCCAGCTCCCGGACATCTTATTATCTCATTCTTGCTTTGGACAACCTCCAGGCTACCGAATGTAACCTGCCCACACGGCAGAGTCTGGCAAACTCCCCGTGGCGCACCCAATATGCCAAATACCAGTAACAATGATGGGTCTCATTCTCCTAACCCTGAAAGAGTCTTGAATATGGCACTTTTTTAAAAAATCTCCGGACTAGGACGAAGGAGACGTTACTGAGGCCTGCTCGAGGCAATCGACGAACAACAGGATGGTCGTGATCGTGATCGTGAACATTCATTCACTAGTTCCTTCATTCATGAAGTATTTATTTGGGTATCTTCCAGTTCTGCAACGTTCAAACTGATATCCAGGGTTAAGTTCCAGTATCCGTGGAGAGATCCCCAAGAGTTTGTGAAATATGCTTGTAGGTGGTTTGAAAGAGTGGGGAATAGGCTGTTGGCGGCATTGCTTCTCAGCTCGTGTGCAGCGAAGGTGTCGGCAGGGGCTACATCAAAAGTGTTTCAGTGCCATATCTCATACCATTTTACTAATCCAGCCCACCAAGAGGCCAGAAGGCAGAACTTATGCCGACTCTGAGTCTGTGAATGAATGCATGGAAGGTGTTTATAAAATGTACGAAGAACATCTGAAGAGAATGAGCCCCAACAGCCCCTCTATCACATATGATATCAGTCAATTTTTT